AAAAAAGGATTTAATCTTACCTCTGGTGGTATTATCAGAAAAGTTTCAATATTATGTTGGGCAAGATAGACTTCTCGGGATCCTCCATTACCAGGTTCGACTTCGAAACGATTTCCAAGTTGAAGTAAAGTAGCTTTAGTTATATGCACTCTCCTTGAAGAAAAAAAGTCTATTCGAAACGAAACATTGGCTATTCTAATAATTAATATGATTTAATCATTATGATAGCATGTTACATAATAAATTACCCTGGTAAACCACCGCTTTCCATATGATTTGCCAATGTAACATCATCACTCCAAACATCGAATTGCCATTTTCGTAAACCAAGTACACCACATAGTACGTTTCCAGTGTGTATTCCTATTCGCATGTCCACATTAAATCCTGTTGCTTCGCGAACAAATCTAAAAACAACCGTATCTATTCATTTTAACAATTCAAAAAAAAATTAACTTTTTTTTCCTCCTTACTTAATAGCGTCTATCATTTGTAATCCCATAGTCACACAATTGTATGCATGATTTGGCCGAGAGATGGGCAATCCCGAAACACAATAGTAACAATCACCCAGAATTTTAATTCTCATACATTGGTTGTCCTAAAAATTCATGTCTGAATTCTTATATATATACAAATTTAAAAAATATTAAGTTATATAATTATGATATTGTAGAAAACATAAAATAATAATGTTCCATATGAAAAATTTTACTTGAGCAATTTGATCGAATCTTCCGAATAATTCATTCAATATTTTTACTAGACTTGAGGCTGATAATTGTTCTGAAAGCGGTGTAAAATTCACAATATCTGCATAAAGAATACTGAAAGGAATATCATTATTGTTTTTGCCTATATTTTCATTTATTAACAATAATTTGTTTTATTTCTTAACTTACCTAACATTATTATGCCGTTGCACATACATTTCATAGAATCTAGTTTGCTTATGATTACTAGCTTCTTGACATGCATTCGCCATTTTCAACATAATACCTCTTTTCACCTGTCTCAATTTTATTTAATAATATTTAAATGATTTGATTAATCAATAATAATCATTAGTGAAAGAAAATGCAAATATTACCTCAGCTGCGATATAAGCCGGAATAACACTTAATAATAATTGTTCTTGTTGTTCTCTTTCACATTCTAATTTTATTCTGGATTCAATGACCGTTTTTGTTCTAGAAAAGGTTCTATTATGTGCTTTTGCAGTTAATATACTATAATACGAACCGGATAAAATTGCAGTGAATAGAAAGATAATCTCACTGCATGTCTAAATTAACGACAAGGAAAAAGATCGAATAAATAGTGAGAACAAATAAATTAAAATTTACCGAGAAAATATATATTTATATATTTACCTGAACTATTTGATAGTAGTTTGAATGATCGAGAAAAATGAATCGCACACTTAAATGAATGATAATTAATATAATTGCAAGAATTGTTGGTGTCTGTCGTGTATCTCTTGGTAATACAGCGATCATCGCGTGAATTGTGATAAACAAAGGTACTGAAGCACGAATGATTAAAATTCCAATACCTAAAATACCTGATGCAACAAAACCTATAAGAAGTCTAGCTTTAGCGGATGTTAAAATCGATGGTAGTTGCGTTACTAATAGTAAACTCAACGATATGAGTAATAATATCATTAAAGTCGTCACAGGAACAATAATTTGAGATAAATCCTGTAAAAAATTGATATTTTGAAACTTTAAATCATATTAATTTAATTCATTATTAAATTAATAATATAATTATATTAATTGTTAATTTTCATTTGAAATGAAATCGTATTTTTCATATAATATAATATTTATAATAAGTTATTAATTTGTAAACAATTTGATTGGAATGTATTAAATTTATCTGATAGTTGTTAATACAAAGAATTAAAGTGAAAATTAACACACTAAATTTACCTGATAATTGTTAATGTAAAGAATTCCTAGAACAAAAATCAATGCAATGACAGTGACAAACAGGATACCGGTATAGAGGGAAGCTGTCAATTTTCCTTCATATTTGCTTCGCAGTTGATTAAATTCTTCAACGCCGATTTCTGTGGTATCATGTTTCTGTAAATTGTCTAAAACATGTGCATATATTGTATATATTGATTATAAGATAAGATGATTAAATAAAAACAAAAAAAAAAAGTAATATAATTCAACATCGTTATCAATAAGTTTTTTTATTATTATTGAATGTATAAGAAAGTATATATCGAAAATAATATCATATGTATAGAGATATCGTATATAAATATATATATATGTATATGCATAATAATAAATAATAAAAATAATAATAATTAATAAAGACTTATTTGTAAACAGAATTATAATAACATAAATAACAACATTAATATAAAGATTATATTAAAATTTATGGTATTTGTTATATAATTATGTTATAATAAGATTTAATAGAATATATTATTTAATTGACTTATTAACAGACTTATTAACAGACTATTTAACAGATTTATTATTCTTGCATGTTTTATTTAAAATAAAAAAAACTGCTTAAATTTTAAAAAATTTTTTATCATAATTTAATTATAAAGTTAACTAAAATCATAGATTTATTTGTAAATAATTTGTTTGTAAATTATATATCAACAAGTTTATAATTCTTTATACTTATTAGCTTGAGGAGTTGGCTGATTACCAGTACGAGTTATTTTTGATCTAACTCGTCAGAAATTTATTTAACTTTCTTCAACTATGCGTAATTTCAACGTATAGCTCTTTTCTAGAGTAAAATTCGAATTTTATTTGAATAATTTCATTATTTTATCTAAACACGATAATTAAAATATCATATTCGAAAATAGCTAGATTATATTTATATTAATCAACAATATCATATAGATTTGCATAAAAAAGTTTATATACATATATATATTTAATATTATTTATCATAAATTATAATATTAATTTTGATGAATTTCAATCAATTCAAAATAAATTTTATCGTTTTATAATATATTAATAGATTCGACTTTTTTTTTTATTATTTTGAATATATAAAGATAAAGTAATAAAATAAATTTGGTTAATGTTATAATGTTTTTCTTATAACTTCTATTAAGTTTTTATTACTTTAGTAAAAAATTATTTTTTAAGAGTGTAAGATTACATAAATTCTTATTATTACCTTTTTCTGGCATAATACTGGCAAAATATTCCACTCTCCTTTACTGTTTTAATCGTTTCGACTGGTCGATATTTTGTAATTGATTGTTCGATATTCCGTTTGTTCTTCGATCTTTAATCGATCAATTGCGCACAACTTAATTTTGTTTTTTAGCGTTGATTCGATTAATTGAACAGTTATACAAAACACAAAACATCACAAAAATACATACACAATATGTTCGAAGTTCTAAATTTTGCTTTATTGAGATTTTACTCTTTTGGATTCTTGATCATTATAGTGGGGGAAAAGGAAGAAGAGAAACAGAAAGAGAAAAAGAGAAAGACAGATAAATTAAATTTATTCAATTGATGTATCATTTTTATTATTATTATGTTTGTTTATATTTATGATAAAATTTGTTTATTAATTCATTCTGGAATGTGAAATATTTTATTGTTACTTATAAGTAAGATGCATGATCACAATGATATTCTAAAGATATGCACACAATCATTTATTGCATATTATCTTTTAGATGCGAAGATTACTACTAATGATTCAATTATAAACTAATTATAAGTTTATCTTAAAATTTTTCTGTAATACTAATTTGAATTAGCATATATTTTTAATTAAAACACAGATATATTATATTTTTCTAAAATATAATCTATTTTTTTTAATTAACTAATGTAAAACGAAAAATGATATCTAATGTAATATCATATATGTATTTAATCATTTTTAATTTTTGGATGCAATTAAATTAAATTAAATGAAAAGGATCGATTACGCGAACAACATTATAAATATTAGATCTTTTAAAATATTTATTGATTGACTTTATGTTATTTATTATTAAGAATAAAAAAAATATGATAAAACATTATTAATTTCATTTTTTCTTTCTTTCTTTTTTTTTTTAACATTGGTTCAATGAATTCGTATCAGGTACCCAATATGGGAAATATTTCATTTATATTTTTTTATATTTCTTTTTCTGTTATTTATCTATTTCTTTTTTTCGCTTTACTCTTTTATTCATTATTATATACGATTCGTTTCATATTATAAAAATTCCATTTCACGTTCAATACCCACAAATTTTAATTGTTCTGTTGGTCCATATCTACAAGAAAAAAAGAGATATATAAATAAATATAACGCATAGGAAAAATATAATATAATAATAATATTGATTTTATTATAATATTACCTATAATCAAAAAATAATTCCTCGCCAGGTTGAATAGCTCTTTTTGCAAAAATACCTATTCTATGATCACCATTTACCATCATTACTTTCGCGTAACAATTAGGATTTATTGAATGATTAGCAAATCTTATTTTATTTCCTTTTCGAGTAGCATCCACGACAAAATCTAAAAATGGAAAAATAATTAGAAATTTGATTTTCCAAACATTGTTAAGAAAACTATAGTACTTTTTACCATTATTAAGATTAAAGAGAAAACTACACATATATTTATCATATACTTTTCCTCGTCTATCAGCTTCATCTTGACTTATAATTTCACCACAATATTCTGATATAAATTCATTTTTTGCTGCAGATTCTTTAAGAAATATTCCCCAACCAGCTACATCGGATGGTGCCATTAAAAGATGTTTATCTGAAATATATTAATTAATATGAAATATATATATTAATTATAAACAATCATTATGGTTAAAATTGAATATTGCGATTCAAAAGATTATTGCTTAAAAAACTTAAAAAAAATACTTACGAAGACCTCGTTGAACGCTAACGTTTTTGCAAGATATTTTGGTAATTTGAAACTGATCTGCACCACATGTCTGACATAAATCTGGATCACATTCTCTTACAGCTAAGTAGCAAGGACACTGTTTCGTATTACATTGGGCTTTGCACCTACATCCTGGAAAACGATTTTGACATTCGCTACTACACTGGCAAAACTTCTCACAGAAGTTTTGAGCTTGTATACATGGACATGAGTTATCGCATTGTCTTCCCGGATGATCGCATGGTGCAAAATTATGGACATGATTGGCGCCTTAAAAGCAAAGAAAATAATAAAAAAATAATGTAAATTATGAGTAAAAAAATAAATCAATATTATTTATTTTAGAATATTTACCAGAATCTTTTTTCAGCTGTATTTTTCTACAATGCATTGACCAAAGACGATGTTTCTTTTTTTTCTTCCGTGGTGGTGTAAAGTCCTTCAAATTTTCTACTGCTGGAATATCTGATGCTTCTTTTTGTGCAAATTGATATACTTCCTGACATGTTTTAGTCAACATAATCTGCGCTAATGCACATGGATTACCAGGGAAAGCCTTATGAAGAGCTCGAAATAGACTTTGTTCTGAACCTGTCCATGACGGTTCGCTTTCTGTTTTTATTCGTTTATCGAGACCCAAAAGCGTAAACGGCGCTTGATTTTCTGGTTGTGCTTGATCTTCCATAGATTCTTCGGATTTTGTTTCTTTGTTGACATTTTGTTTAAAATCTGATGTGATAATATATTCTATCAGAATTTCGATTGATAAATACGAAATAGTTAATCCGGACAAAATGAAATACTCTATCTTACCTTGACAACCGCCTCCTTGACTATACTTATTGCTATCATTGCTATCTTCGCTACTTGCTTCATTTCCAGAATCTACACTTGCTTGTTTTCGCACCTTTCTAGGTCCTCCACGCTTTTCATCACTTTCTTCGTCCTTTATATCAGCCGCTTGTGCGGCAAGTTTTTCCTTCATTCCTTCCTATTCAAAAAGATTTATTCGCATTTTTATTTATGTACTTTTTGGAATATTATTATTGTTATTTCTGTTTTTACCAAGTGCATATAACATTCTGTTCCGCATGGTTCAGCAAAAGGTTTTAAATCAGGCCCCTTTCGTTTTTGTAAATTTGGTCCTGGATGACAAACTTGAAGACCTATAAGTAACAATGTAAATTCAATATAAAGTTATTCCTTAAGAAAAATATCATGAATGAAATAGAATTTAGTATGTTGACACAGCGTCGAACGATGAACGAAATATGATTGCAGATGTATCCTTGATGGCATCTCCATGCTAAAATAAAAAAAAAAAAGAAAAAGAAAAAATAAAAAAAAGTAGAAAAAAAAACAAGAAAAAAAAGAAAAGCTTTCGTTTAAATACGATCGTTTGTATGCAATGTTATTCTTTACCTGACGGCGACGCTCCCCTGGCTGCTATAATAAATCATGAATCATAAATAATCGCAATTAACGGATACAGCATGGTGTATGGCCATTAAGTTGTATCTCAGTATTGATTTTTATAATTAAATTAATTTAACTAATTTGAGAGAGAGAGAGAGAGAGAGAGAGAGAGAGAGAGAGAGAGAGAGAGAGAGAGAGAGAGAGAGAAGTAGTAGTT